TTCTACTTTGTAGACTGATTCCCTAACACACGCTAACGCTGCAGGCACTTTATGGCAGATGTCACGTCAATCAGTTATGAGAGATCTTCGAATTTGTTATGAAGAAACATCTACGCTAAGCATTAGCACTTCGGTCTTAAGGAGCTTCTGCCTTTGAACGAAATAGCTTCGGACTTAGGAGCCTCTGTTTTCACACGAAGGAGCTTCGGACCCAAGGAGCCTCTGTTTTCACATGAAGGAGCTTCGGACTCGAGGAGCCCCTGCTTTCACATGAAGGAGCTTCGGACTCAAGAACCCTCTGCTTTCACATGAAGAAGCTTCGGACTCGAAGAGCCACTGCATGTTGACATTGCCTGTGTTGACTCCCCCCTGTATGACTTTTCTACTGAATACGTGGCTGCCCACGTAGTATGCTGACTTGGAGCCATTAATCCGGGGGGGGGGGGTGTAACAATAGTCCCCCAAGCCTATGCTTGGTTATTCATGTAATGCATGGACTTTCATGTTTTTCAGTAAGGGAGTTGTAAATTTTCGTTGGCATTCCTATCAGCATTTTCCGAGGTGGATTGCCTGAGGGCGGATGTATCAGTCTTTTTTGGGATACTTAGAACAGGTAACGTATGCTAAGGTTCATAAGTTCAATTCCGAAGTTGGATTGTTGGTCGTGATCCCTTCTTCGATTCGAAGTACCATTGTTCATTTCGGAGGTTGGTATAATAATATTGGAGGACTGTTACTGATTAGCTGTCATGATATGTTTCCAAGAATTCTGGGAGAACCTAGGCTCCCTTAATGATTTGATGTCGTATCCGATGATTTCCAAAGGAAGGTAATTATCCCGATACAACCTCCCATACACGCTAGAGTCGTTACATTTAATGCAAAATGATGGTTTGGTGCCCACGCTCTTTCTGCCAACCCCAGGCATGCTTGGGCGCGTGCAATCTACGCTCGGATCTGGACCTTTGAATGTGGAACGTCAGACACTATGAATGGCTCAGATCAGAACCTTGGAATGAATGGCTAAATGCCAAAGATCGAGATCCAACGGCTAGGGTTGGGTATGTCCGTCTATAAAAGGAGATTGCCCCTCAGAAAAGTCATTTTCCCTTTATCTTTACGTGAATCTCTCCTTACGAGCTTTTCTCAGTATATTCTTCGAGATTTTTTTCCTTCTTCGTCAAGATTCTTCTGTAAGTGTTGTGATCTTTTGCTGTATTTCACCAAGAATTTTATTTTTAAGTCCCCGGATCTATGGCGTCTTCTTCTTCTTCTGATGAGAGTGTAGGCATTGATAGGATGGCTGTTGGGTTAAGGAGTGAGTTGGCAACCGCTGCTAAACCTATCAGGGCCATTGAGGTTGGCAGGGGAGACGCCACTTTAGGGGAAGGGTTGGATGGCGAAGATGATGGGATAACCTGGGGGCAGCCAAAGTTCCTTCTAACGTTAACCCAACCAAGCTAGCTGACCTTAGGGAAAAGTTTAGGATCCCTTATAATATCAAATTGTTGTTCCCATCTCCCAGTGAGCGAACCTGCTACCCTAGGTAAGGATGAGTAGCCATAAGCGAATACCTCCTTAAATCAGGGCTTCGTTTGCCCCTTCACCCTTTCTTTCGAGTGGTCCTTAGGTTATACGGACTGGCTCCTACCCAGCTCTCTCCCAACGCTTGGGCACAATTAGTTGAGTCTTATATTCTTTGGAAGCAGACTTCTTTGGGCGAGGATATGCCCCTTTATGTTTTTCAAATCATTTATCAGCCTAGGTCGTTAGGTAAGGGGGACTCCAAGGGTTGGTATTCATTGTGCCCCTGGGGAGGACATGCTCCCTTTGTGTCTGGTCTCCCTTTTTCCATTAAAGGGTGGAAGGAGACATGGTTCTGGGTTTGGGGGATGTGGCAGAAGTGTGAGGGTGACACCGTACCTTTTGTTAAGGTTCTGACCTCCTACTTCGAACCCATTGAGTACCGAACCTCCTATTTCGTTAGTTATTCTTTGTACTTCAATTTCTTGACCGAACCTTGTTACTAATATAACAACTGTTGCTCTTTCTCA